GAGAGAGAGAGAGATACACCCAAGCAAGGACTGCTTTCTCGGCAAACTCACTCCCCCAAGGACGGAGTACATGCTATGTAGCTCAGCTATCTGGATCAGCCTGGCTAACTCTCCTCGCTATCGTTCGTATCGATACAGATGAATTGGGTCTTCCCATCCAGGTCTCCCCTTCCGGACATGAAGTGAGTTACTCGTCTCTCCTTTGTCACTCCCAGGTCCCCCCATTTCAGATTTCCTATACCCCTTCATCCCTTCATCAACTTCCACCAAATCTTCTAGTTCTTCTTCTCCCTACTCGTTTCTTCTTCTTGCTATTCTTCTCTTTTTTTACTTTTCCTCTGCCTTTCTCTACTCGGTTCCTCGGGAGTTGCTCCTAGGTTCCTCGTCCAGGTTCCCTCCACTCGTCCTCCCTGTAGCATAAAGATGCTCGAACCGCCTACATATATATCCTTCCTTCCTTGTCTTTTCTTCTCTGTTCTGATCTCCCTCTTCCTATACGCGGACAACCCCAGTGAAACAATTAACTTGGCCCTCCCCAGCTGACTCGCCCTTCTCTCCTTTTTCTTTCCTTTCGATCTAGTTCCCCACACCGTCTCAAGACTGGCGTAGGTCCCAACCCGCCAGCTCTTCCTCACCAGCATCAGCAGCACCAGCAGCAACAGCCGCAGCATCACCAGCCGCAGCAACACCAACAGCACCACCAGCACCAGCACCACCAGCATCCCATCCCCCTCTCTCAAACAGGCGCCCCTTCTCCATTTGCTCCTCCAAACCCCTTCGACAATCCAATGGTCCCTGCGCCTCCGGTCCCTACTACTGCTCCGGCTCCATCACACCTTCAGACTACCCACGTCCAGCAACAGCAGCAACAACCGGGTCAAGTGCATCCACCTTCGTCACCCGCTAATCCGAGGAAGCGTCGAGCCTCTATCCAACAGCCGGGCTCCTTAACAAACATGGGACCTCCAATTGCCGGATCTAATGCTACTGAGCAGGATGGCACTACAACTAGCACCGCTCCCGCACCCGCTCCAGAAGCAGGGGTAAAGAAGAAAGGCCGCACCAATACACCTTGGACCGCAGAGGAGGAGCAAAGGCTCAAAACGATGAGAGATGCTGGCAATACATGGAGTGAGATTGCTAAGGTACGCATATAAAGTTATTTGAAGATGCTACTCATTGCTCTCGGCCACTAACTAGAGTCAAAGACGTTCCCTACCAGAACTGAAGGTAGCGTCAAAAAGCATTGGTATAAAGACATGCACTATGCGGAATTTGCAGAAGATGAGGTAATTTTTGCCCAATCGAGAATGAAAGCTCATTCAGATACAAATCTAACATGCAGCACAGTCCATAGCTCTACGGGATGCAATCAAGGAGTATGAATCCAATAAGTGGAAGGTCATTGGACAGAAGGTCGGGAAACCAGCGAAGGTATTCATATTTCTTTACAATTGTCCCCCACCGTTTTCAAAATTTGATAGAAAAGTACTTAACATGTCCCATTTAGGCCTGTGAGCAATATGCCAAGGAACATTTCAAGAACTTATAAAGACTCGATGTCTAAAAAGCAACCGTCTTGGGATACCTTTCTGGTCCGTCCGCGACAAAACTCCAACTCCTGGGATACACCAAGCACGCCCCCTCCCTAGCCCAACCCCCCTTTTTTTTGTTTCTTTTTTATGGGCAGCCTTCCCTTTCGTTGACACCAATCGGACTGCCTAGAAACATGATGGCAAATATTGAAACTCTGCCGCCTGGATTTGAGAGTGAAACGCTCGGATATATGACACAGCTGGGCATCTTTACCTGGCCAACTCTAAAGCTTGAAAGGGATGTTACGATTGGGCCGTCCGTTTTCCTATATTACTATCTTTATTTTGATTTCTATATCTCCTTGTTCTCACCGCAGGTTTCTGTCATTACGTTTACTCTGATTTTTTGAGGGAGTCTGGGTCTGGGCTTGTCTGGGCTTGGATGGGCGTTCATTTCTCTTCAACTTTCCGCTACAGCATCCACCCTTTCCTCCTCACGATCACACCTACGCGCGTTGCTCTCTCCACTTCTCCATATGCGGCGGTTCTGCAAAGTTATAATACCCCCTTTGCACTGGATTTTTGTGGTATGACGGGACTCTTACCTTTCTATATTCTTATTCATAATTCCCTGTTTAAAAATTCTCCCCCCTTACCTGCTTGGAGCGCCTTTTTGGATATATCCCACAAGCCATTGGCTGTCGGCTCACGGATCATGGACCACGAACTCATTACTCATGTGCGGCTTTCTTTCTTTCTTTCTTTCTTTTTTTTTCTTTTTTTTTTTTTTTTTGGCCTCAAGTACTTTTGTTGTTTTGCCTTGCCTTCCACTTGGCTGCAGCCCTTTTAGTTCTATTTCCCTTTTCGTTTCTTTTCTTTTCTTTTTTCTATATACTAGCTTTCTCTTTTTGTTTTTATTTCTTTGCTGGGTACCTTATGAAGGAAGTACGGAACATGGCAGGGCAGGTCAGGGAATGGAAGGCTACATGATGCAATTGACGTGATATCAATAGGGTGATGGAATGTTTGATGTTCTTGGATAGTTTATTTTTCCTGTTCTTTTTAGCTCTTCTCTCAATTCTCTAACTATTATTACTGTTCCTCGTCTGTTCATTTTGCCCGAGGCTTCTCTAGCCTCTCTCTATTTTCCATTTACCTCTATCCTTGATTCGGGAAGCAAGAATAGGAGAGGGCTGTAACTATGTTAATTGAACCGAAATCTTATCTTCGCGGGTACCTGGGCGATCTACACGGCACTACGTAGTTATGATGTCAAGTCACGTATGTGTATTTCATGTCGAGCGTAGATGCAGGAACTTCGCTTACACAACACGCTGGAAACTCCACCAGGTACCGTGACCGCCAAGTACTTCCGCGCCCTCGAGCAGCTTATTTTCACCTCACTCGTCGAATGTACGCGGTTTGCCATCAACAGACAGCTCGACGGCAGGCAGCTAGACAGTGATTGCAGAGCATATTCTATGCGAATAGCTCTATTGTTTGCTGTACAGACCCGCATTCGTGCCAAATATATATATATATATGCAAAGTACCCGTTTATCAAGTGTACGCAGGCCCGGAGACGGTAGAGCTTGGGTCTGCTACTTGTAAACATCCAACCTCAGGCCATGTATCGCTACATTCCCAGCGGTATCTTTGGCAATCCACCATTTGAGTGTCCATTTCACCGGCCTGTACCTTCGATGTAGCATTCATAGGCTCATCTTGGGGAGAAAGGATAAGTCAGCAAGGCATAATAGCCATGATACCCACTAACCCCTGCGCCTGATACACTGCGGCTCGATCTAGATGCTAGTGGCAAGGCCCCATGTATGTGGCAACGACCACTGGAACATATTTTTACATGTTATTTCCCTTATTCTCATTGAAGATCATCATTTCATATGCACGGTCGGGTTGAGAGTAAGATCTCACAAGAAAAAGCCATACGCAAACCGATATGCACGCCGTGTTTCCCCGATAAAAGTTGAGTTCAAACATATCCGCGGGTGACTTCCCTGCCTACAACGCATACGAACTGCAATGTAAGAACTAGCAAAATCAATTCAATGGGACAGATACCCCAAATATACCCCTGCAATGGCAATGTCTATTATCCTGTTAGGGAATGACAAGGAATAGTATGGCTACAATCAATTCTTTCCCGGTCGTTAGCCTGAGTATGGGCGGTTACGAAAGTAGTGGAAGGAGGGCGAATGGTTCCCAGCCACATTAATGCTGTATACGAAAGCCGAGAGATTGGAGATGTGACATTTCAGACAGATCAGATGGTACCGCATGAGACTAGAGCTAAAGGACGGCTGGAAGGAGACCGTCTATATGCATTGTCTGGAATTGGTAGAGCCATTGAGAAGCTCATCCAAGTCTTTTACTGCCTAGAATTGACAGCGTGGGTGTGGACGTGTTGACGAATCTTTGACTCTACCCACTACAAGGAAGGTGCGCGTGATCGGGTTTCTGTACAAGGTGTGGGAGATAGTATGCACGTCATATTGGGTTACCCGCTGGTAGAGGTAATACGACCCAATTCTTGATGGAATTGGCCGACATGGGCCAATTTTTTGTTTTTGGCTTCGCGGTTCTATCCTACCCTCTGATATTCAAGGCTCATTGGCAGCGGAACTTTGAATGAGCTCAATTGCGATTTCACGATATGTGTCTTACGGATTGAAGTTGCGGTCCGGGTGCCGTCCCGTGCCGGTTCCATTGCCGATTCGATTCGTGCTGCATCGGTGTATTCTCAGGAGCATAGCCATGTTTTGCCTTCTTTATTTTACATTCACCATTTACACTTTTTCTTTTGCCCGTTGTTCTTCGTTGCCTCGAGGTTGTGACACGTACTAGGCAATGACGGGCTGAAGGTCATATTGTTTGTATGACTATACATGGGGGTGGTCGACCAGATGGGGTCTCTCAGCTACTCGCATTTAACCCCCGCTCACAGGTCTAGAGACCCTGGTATGCTGAACTTGAGCTGAGGGTATCCATATTCAATTCAGCCATTTGTCGGACATGGACTTCCACTCGGCCAATTGTATCAAGCCACGGTTGGTTACCATGGTCCCCTTGATGCTGAACATGAGATGGACTGCCCCAACGAGGAAGGAACTTGCTCTTTACCTTTTTGTTATTCGTACATTCTACGATATACCATCGCCTCGGTGTGGTTTATGGCGGCCGTGCGGTCGACTCCAGCTGCACCTTATGTCAAGAAACCCTGCCCAGCCACGCCTCCTGGTCCTGTTGGATATTCTTTTCTTCTTCCACCGTGCTTCATGGCTCCCTCGACGAACCTACCTAGGTTTCAATAGTTTCCTCCTAACACCTATCAAGGGCTGTCCCATGTCAAGCCTGTTTGTGAAGATCCGTCGTGACGACCTGACCTTCCAGGTGGGCAGTAGATTATACATACCTTCCAATACCCAACCAAAAGTATCTCCCGGTCTCCAAATATAACCTAGCTGACAGGGGATGACCTCAAAGAATTTTGGAATGCGCCCGAAATAACTGATTTTACCTTGAGAACCAAATCATACATGTTCCCACTTCCCTGGAGGTTGAAATGGGGGCTAATTATCGGACGGGTATCATGCACTGAAATGCCGCTATCCACCCACAATATGCAATGGGGTATTCTTAACCATTGACTCTCTGTCATCCATCAGGACAATGTAACATCTGGTAACATATGGCCGTATGTGGCATGCATGGTACCCTGCTATGCACGTTTGCTTTGTTCTGCCGTGGGAGTCCCGCCCACAAAGGCTTGACACAGTCTCCATATTGTAAAGACCTGTGGGGGTTCTACCCAAACGTTCACTCCCGATTGACTCTTGACTTTACGCCTACCAGGATATCATCAGCAATGTAAGGAGTCGAACTTATCCCTATGACTGTACAAACACTTGCGCGTACAACTTGGCTCCACTCTCTGCTTCTAGGCTTGGAAACGAAACCCTACCGTACCAGATCTCCAATTAACGGTCTTCTTAGGCCCATGGAAAAAGCAGCCGCCCCGTCGTTGTGTCATATCGACGTGTCTACATCATATCATGTCACTTACATTTGTCCCCCCACATTCTCGAACGCAGATAGAAACTTGATTTGCTTGCATTGCATTGCATTACATTGCATGGCATCGCAGTATACAGCAAAGTAGGATATAACGGATGGGTGGAAAGGCGTAGGTAGCGTGCCGGGCAGCATAACATAAGAATATGCTGCCCCCACGGTCATATCTTTTCTTGTCGGCTCCCTCGGTCCCTGTTGCGGTAAGCCAAGTGGGATATATAGGATTTTGTGAAACAAGTCCCGTACAAGGCCACGAATAGTTAATTCTACTCGATAGTGGTGGCGAAGCTCCAAGGCGTTTCGTAACTCGTATAGTTGTTCCCCTTATGCCAGCTGACTTTGGTACCAGGGTAACAGTGACCGAGCTCTTTCCAAAATCAATATTGAAATGACATGTTCGTTCTTTTTATCGAGTGAACAAGACTGTTATAACAGGTATGCTACAATATAAACTGACACGGGACTATGGGTGGAGAATAGCGAAATCGGTGAGGATGTAGAAATATATATATCAAATAAAACAGGAAATAGCTGAGTCAGATTGATGGTGGAAGTAGGTTTAAGGCATGATCTCCCTCAGCATTTCTTTTAGTACAGATACAGACATGTCAGGAAAAGGAAGTCCTTGTCAAGGGAAGTATGGCAAGTGGTGCACATGCCAATTTACCTATACCAATACTCAGGCTTGACGTGGTCGGCGAAGGTCTTTGGTTCGTAAGGGCCGTGGTGGTCGTGGCCTGATCATTAGGAGAGGTATTAGCATGACTCATAGTATCATGGGGAAAGGCACAAAACTTACCGTGGGCGTGGGGATCCTCTTTTGGACCAACGTACTCCATCTTGATGGTGTTGCCGCACTCAGAGCAACGCTCAATTGGCCGATCCTTGGAGACCTGACAAAATATACAAGTCAGCTACATTTATATCATAATAGATGGCACAACGCTGATAGATTCCGGAGGTAGCTGGGCAACTGAAGCAGAAAATCATATATCACTTACAGTCAGCCAGATGACAGTGTGAGAGTCGGCTGGATAACCAGTGCATCCGACGTAGTGTTCCTCTCCGGCGGATTTGACGACAATTGGGTCCTGGAGGGTTCCTATATGCAAGGAAGAGTAAGCAATGCCTCATACAAAAACCTCTTCTATATTTCATAGACACTGATTGAGTGATTCATCCGTGGTATGATATCTCAAAAATGTCCGATTCGATAAATCATGCAAGAACAGTCCACAAATAATGTAAACGGCACATACCGAGTCGTGAGGCATCGAGGGGCTTCTGGTCGAAAATATCGATTCCTTGCATTTTACCCAAAAGTTCCAATCGCTCCAAACCCGTGGACTGCTCAAGATCAGTAGGAACGGTACCGGGCTTCGCTCCGGGGGCAAGAAGGTCTGATGGGGTTTTGGCCTCTAAAGGTATAGTAAATTCTCCAGTTAGACTCTTGACTTTAATCCCAGTATTGTATCCCTGACACCCATATTCCGAGGGAGAGTATAGGAATGCTGCAGAGGCTCAAGCTTTATAGACATCCCAAAAAGACGCCTTCCACCCAATTCGGAGCCTTTCATAGCCTCAGGGAAGAAAATACAGGGGTCTAGAGAGGAATTCTAGGTTCAGGACGATGTCTTAACGGACCTTCGAAGGAAACCATCTTTCCGGCTGATTCGCCAGGTTGAGGATCCCATTTCGACTTGGCTTCGACTGTCATAATTTAACGAGTTAGTCACGGCTCTAACCACGCGGCCTGTTCCAAATGACAATTCCTTTGCCCAATTGGACATCTCATCACACTCATGTCCATCAAGCGAAGCTTCCTTCAAGGCAAAAGGACGGGACTGGCACGTACATCGAACGAACGACGTAGAAAAAGAGCGCTTCGCGACAGCTCGGACCGGAGCCCGTCTGGCAAGGGCGAAAACACTTCGCTGGACAAACATCTTTTCGCAATTCCTCAAACGCCACCAATTGGTTTGTTCGGCGGACTCTGTTATGGTGATAGGAGAGGTTTGAAGTCGAGGTGGAGTGATGATTTTGGACTTTTGGCTTGGAAAATGCCTGATTCCGGATGGTCAGTTTCTGCTTAGTCATGGTCTAAACAGTTTCTAATCTGACCAATGAGAATCACATCACGTGGGGCCACTTTGACAGATTATGTCATCACATAAATCTTACCCTATCGTCCCAAAAAGGAAAGCTCTCAACCACAAGTCATGAGTCGATATTCCTCGTTGCTCCGTTAATCAAACCTACAAAATCGTGACAATGTAGTTAGAACGGATAGTTTACATGTATGCGACCTCTGGTTAGTCTCTCTAGTGGGCGATATCTCTCTATTATTCGCTTCGACTAAGCTGCTTCTCTGCTCACACAGATGAGACCGCTGCCGAACAGACGGTTGATGCAATTTGCTCGAACTTCGAGGTCACTCTATATCGCTATATCTGGGGACTATATATCCTCCTGACGGATGAGACTCGGCTCATTGAACAATATAAGAGCATTACCCTCTTGACGGCTCTTCGAATATCTACGTGTGGGTGGCTTGAACAACAGGGAAAAAAAAAAACAAGTTATAGCTTCAATCCACTCGAAAGTTCACATTGGAATGACCTTGATACTAATTATTTCCACACCATTGCATGGGCAATTATCTTAACGACAAGATGGCTTTCATTTGTCACCCAATTCTCCAGCACCGATTTTACCATTGGCATTTCTCATGCCTTCGGCATCAGATTTAGTACGCCGCCTCGCATGCTTAACTGTATAACCTTTTACGCATTGATTGTCGCCCCTTAATGTCCAATTTTTGGTTATTCCGATTCCAGAAAATGCACAGAAGAGGTTGGGTAACTCCCTTTGTTTACTCTTCAACGTTGCGCTTTCCCTTTTCCTTATTTCCGGAGCACGCCTCTTTTTCGTGCTACAAGGTCCACGGGTTATTAGAGGTAAGGACGGAAATTTCATATTGTTGAGCTTCCATGCTCGATATGCTGCTGGGCCTTGTCCTGGTATCGTCTAATGACCAGTTTGCAAAAACCATTAACTGGCCCAAAACGAAAGATCCGAATATGCGGGTCACAAGTCGGGGTTGGTTACAGAAACACATTGAACTTACCAAATCCCAGTAATGATACCCGCCTTTCAGAACTTTCTCTTGGTATATGAGCGAGTGTGGCCCAGATACTAGATTCCGAATATCACTAGTATTTCTCAAAGCCTTGATTTGTCAACCGAGTCATTCTGTGAATTTGGTGGCTACCCAGCAATGTCTCTCCCTCGTGCAACCACTTTTTACCATGAAGCATCACGCCGCAGACAGCGAGATATAATTGCCTTATTGCAATATACTGACTTGAGCCAACCAAATGATTCCCCTTTGCTAGTATCTAGCTACCCGATTCGGTATCTTGATGGGCCCTGACTGAAATTTGCGCCCAACAGATGAAATAAAAGGGGTTACAAGCCTGTATTACATAGCCAACTCTATCTTGTTCATACGTTGAGCATCAGCCCTAGAAAGGGTGTTTTCAAGAAAGAGGTAGTGGGAAAACTAGACAGTCATTATTTGGAGCAAACATACAAAATGGTAATATCAGATGATATCAATCATGAAGCTACTTTGTTTCAGCCTCATAAGGCGAAAACACACCTATGGTGCATAAATCCAAGCCTCATTATGAACTGCCTTGTTGGGGTAATTTTAATCCTCAAGATTAAGACTGGAGCCATCCCCAAGATTTTTTGTTCTGGACATGTTCATTATTGCCTGCTGGATCAACAGATTTTTCAGGGTGTTCTACACAATGTGTAACCATCCTTAAGGGGGCAACAAAGTGCTTTCCTAGTTAAACATGGGGAGGTGCTTCTGCAGCTATATCTCGTTTTTTATAGACGTGGATAAGGTGAAATGCTCGTTAGCTTGTACTACCCTGCATACACGCATCAAAGGAACAAAACCAACCTCGATTGACTTTGGGGTATACTTTTCATCTTCAATCGGCCACTGCCTCTACTGGGTTAGTCTAGATATATTGTTACCGGTACCCTTCAAAGTTTTCCTGCATGAGACTCCAGCTGTCGGCTTACCGAAACCTAGCCCCCGTTAAGAAGAGACAACTGACCAGCGCCACATAAGCTGACCAAAATTCAGAGGCCGTGAAGTGTATGTGAAGTATCTCCCCTGCCTTATTTACGGATTCCTGCATATTATACAGCATGACGTTAAGCCATCGCCAGCAAAGTCATAACGGGCGTTCCTGCAGGTGCAGTCGAGTTGAATACAATGGTAGACGAATGTGCAACCTTCACGCATCTTTTCATCTCGCGCATGCACGGTACTCGGGGAGTTTTCCATATTACCCTAACCCGAATCTAGTCATCACCGCAGAAGACTTCACCGCCATATAAATTACACGCGTCGTTGCCTTTCATCAGCTGAGGCTCCATCAGGCCGATATGTATACTATGGTGAGTAGGTCGCCCCTTGGATCTCGCTACCCCTGATACCCACCCCTTCCGGAGACACACCCTTATATTGAACCCACAAAACCGGTCAGGCACGTCCATCTTAGATCCGTATGCGAACATCACACAGCCTCGTAATAGTCAAGTGCTCCTAGTGTAACATGTTCAGGAACTTACTTAAAAATAGACTAACGAGTTGTTTGCTCTAGGTGTAAATCCAGTGGAACTCTCCAGGAATATTGTGGCCGGACAATAAATGCCGAGATTAAGGACTATCTGCAGGAATGTATGGGGACGATATCTCCATAAGAAGCTTTATTTTATTGCAAGAATACTTTCTTGATCATTATATCTCAGGAATAAATAGAGCAATGGAACCACCACCTTGGAACAAAAACACGAATGAAGTCAAAGGGTATGTGAAAGGGGACCAGCAATGTGAAGCCACACCGACTAAATAAACAGGGGACTCAACCCACAGTCCACCAAAGGGAGCTGGAGTACAGAAAAGGGTATATATGCATAGATACAAAACCAAAATTGACATCTTCAACACGGCATCCTGTTAGCTCCCACTTGTACTCCGTGTCTTGCTGCTACCAGCCAATCTCGAGATGCAGGAGATACAGAAATCGGAAAGGAAAAATACAGTACATAAGAAAGTAAACATAGGAACTAACATCCGCCAGAGGGGAACAAAAAAAGGAGTGTGCTCCATACACTTAGCATGCTAGCTACAGGCCTCCTGATATTACAGGGATGTAGGCCAAGTGAGCCAACCATTATTATACGGGAAAGGGTTCAGTAGATAGAAAATTGACGCCAACGGTTATGCAGCTAGTAAAACGAAAAATAAAAGGGAAAGAAGTGAAAACAAAACCAAGCGAGAGAAAATTATTAGTAAAGAAGAAAATAGAGTAAGCAAATGGCTCTGAAGTGAATGACTAGGGCTCCATGCAAGATACATCTAAACAAAGGGAACGAAGGAAAGGGGTATTGACCGTATTCGAGTTGGCTACAGCCATGGTTCGTCTGGCATTCGTCCAGTCAGTGATAAAATAGAGAACTGGGCAAAAAGGAAGAGAGGAACCTGGGGTTTGCTAATTCAAGGTTTGTGGTGTCAATTTGGACAGCAGAACACCTGGGTATCATAAGGACGGTAACGGGATTAATCAAAATCAGTCGCCTAGTTATTGGTATTCTAATATCACGCAAGTTGAATTGACATCCCACTGAAGTTGAAATAGCGGGAGGTTGCAGGAACCATGGGATATAGCGCGATGGGTGTTTCATATTCTTGCTTCATTCTTCGGTCCTGCCGGAGAAAAGATTCGGTGTGGCTGATTACACGTCAACAATGATGACTCGACGGGAATCATGCTCGAGAGAATCTGTGACACAATTATTTTTCTTGTTTCTTTTTCTGTAGAAACAAAAGGATCACCGGCCGCTCTCAATGAACGTTGTGCCTTCGGAAGAATTTTTCCCGCTGGTATGTTTGCTCTAAATCTTAAGAACTTTCGATGGCCCAGAATTTACTGCTTTCTCTTGACATCCAGATGTAAGGAGGCAGGCTCAAGATGTACCTGTCGAATTTTCGGATCTTGAATCTGCCTAACCAAAGTAGAGAAAAGTATCCGACAAATCCCGAAGTCAAATTGAAAATTAAAAGTCGAAAGGGAGAGAAAGAAAAGTTAGAGATCGATATTAATAGAAGTATGCGGTGTTCTTTGTAATTTAGAGCAAGATGGGTACCAATAGATTTTGAATGTACCACGCTGTCGCACATCATGAGGCGCGGGTGGAAGCGATCTAGTCCCGATAGGTAGCAAAATGGCATTCGAGAAGCGTTCTAGCGGGAGTCGAACGAGGAGTAGCTCTTAGATTGGTGGGGGATTTGAGGGGGGGATTTCTGCAGCTTTTTCTCGACAGGCTGCGGGAGAAAACCCGCTGCCAACCTTCGTAGCAACGATACGCCAGCGATCGTTTTCGTAGTCTTGAATGGCGTTACGCAGGCGTTGCACCTTTGAAGATAAAACATGTCAGTATATCGGGCACCAGCAGGATGGACGTGATTAGTGCCCAGTGGATTTAAGTTTAGAAAAAAGGGGGAAAGGTTCAGAAAAGGTCAGGGGAAGAACGGGGATCAGGAATGCACGGGTCAGGGCAAAAGGACATACTGCTTCGTCTGTCCAAACTGTTGCTTTTGCCCGCAGTTTGGTGCAATATCGTACTTGCAGGGTCCCGCTGGTCCGACCTGGGAAGAACTCTGCAATTTGCTTCCAGGTCAGGTTCCGATTTTCCTTCAGCTCCACGAGTAAACTGTCATCTTCCGGTGTGAATTTCAATTTTGGGCCCCTGGGGCGAGGCGCAGGGTCCGGCATGCCCGGCTGGCCAACGACGCTTTGTGAGCCGGTGCCTCCACCGGGGGATGTAAGTTCACCATCACTACCCTGAACTGCCGCTAGGGTAGCCTGGGACGGTAGTCGGTGATGGTGATGTTGTTGATGAATCGGGGATGTCTGGTGATAATCATGTTGTAGAGCATGTGGGTGGTGAGATGAATGATCTCCCGGAGTAGGTAAAAGCATTTCGGAGGAGTGTTGCTCGTCAGCATGAGATGATTCTGGAAGCATGGAAAGTCCGATCCCAGAAGCCGTCTCATCACTCCCTCCGCTTCGCCCATCATCCGCTCGCCGCCTTTTCACACCATGCCGGTCTCCAGGGTACGGCAACGGGAGTGAAGTGGAACTGAAATGAGGAGGCAGCTGCGGTGGCACCATAGGCGTTGGGATCATAACTGGCTGCTGTTGCAAGTCACGTACAACGCCGTGCTGACTAGGGGAGGGCATCAAAACCGCACCTGGACCGTGGCTCGGCTGACTCGGCTGTTGAGATTGTGAGTGCTGGGGCTGTTGCTGCGATGCCTGGTGGTGCTGCGGGTGCTGCTGGTGCTGCTGGTGTTGTTGATGGGGGCTCCGGTGCAGGGGATGCTGTTGTGGCTGAGATTGGTATTGCGAAGTATGGCCACTCGAAATGAAAGCTGCTCCAGGGCGTCCCCCATGATGAAGCGTTGCTTGCTGTTGGTCTGTCTCGTATACCAACTGGCTCTGTTGCTCCTGCGCTTTCGTCTGTTCGTGGGCGGAGTAATCAATTTGATAATCCCGGTATGGATCCGCCAGCGTCACGGCTGCGAACCAGCTCTGCTAGAGCTTTGAAGCTCCAGCAGGCTGCTTGAAATTTGCGCCAGAGGGTGACCTAGTGGTAGGAAAGGGCGGTTGTCTAACCGAATGCCCTGGGGATTGTCCAGTCCGTTGCCCTCCCTGTTCAGTTGTGCCTTCTTCCACTCCTGAATGAAGCCCTGACCCTCCTCTCTCTTTCCACGACCAACTCCTAGGGCGTAAATTCAGCCCCCTCTTTCTCTCTCTAGGCGGCTCCTAGATACGTTACTCGACACACCCTGTGCGTATAAATGAAATGGATCGCGTGAGGCAAGCTCGTTGATAGCAGCAAAAAGAGTAGTAGAGGAACGCCCACCCCACCCTCTAAGGACCTTAGCGATGCCAGAATGATAATAATAAACAGTATGATATTGATAGAAGAAGGGGAGAAAGGGGAAGATCGAAGGTCGAAAGAATCTATATCAGTAGAAGGGCATATGATATTTGTTCGAGTGAGAAGTTGCAGAGGTCGAAAAAAATTGCTGACAAGCTCACACTTCAAAGGCAAAACTAGTTCTGTGCATGGTTGTATTATTATTATAATTTATTGTCATGGAGGTCATCGGGACGCTGGCGACAGATCATAATAATAATAGGTATGGTAATAACGGCATAGCAGGGCATGGGATAGTAATAATAATAAGGGCGTATTAAGAGAGGGGCTTGATCAAATCAGAATAGAGATGGGAAGAGAAAGTATAAAAAGGTATTTTAAAATGAGTAGATGCGACGTCAGGACTGGCAAGTCTACCTGTGCAAAAATGAAGGGCAGAGAAGAGAAGTGTGCCGACCTGTGGCCCATGAGCAGGAAACAACGTTTAGTCGGGAGAAGCTGCCGTTAATTAGCTTCGCCGGGATAAACTGGGGCTTGTCTGAGAGATTCGATCAAGGGAAGCTGGGCGGGAAGCCTTCGCAAAGCCTAGACTGTAATTAGCGAAATTCCCGATATCGCTACTCAAGTTCTTTTCCATGAAACGTGTGTGTAAGTATAGATGTAGAGGTGTACACAGATACGTACGATGCGTGTGATATTCAAAAAGACCCACAGCGCCACCGTTGGAGGTTTGAAAAAATCCACGGATGGCTATGACAGGCTCCACAGCTCCAGATATACATAACACGTTATAAAAGGAGGTCGAAAGGAAAAAAAAATAAATAAAAAATAAAAAAAAGGCTGTCGAGCAGGTGGTTGCTAACCCCGTGTAATGATGTTCTGACCAGTGACGAACATTAAAATGACAAGGGGTGCCAGTGGATAAGGTGTGAGAACCCCCGTCAGGAGAGGTATGTCGAGAAGCAAAAAGCGGACAGTCGTGTCAACCCAGCACACTGGATGCATGCCGAGAGTTACAAGAGGTGGTTGAACCAGCTCCCTGAAAGGTTTCTCTGTCCTCTTCACTTCATCCATATTATTTCGGGACTTATTGGGCATCAGACGCTCGGGGGTGTGAAGAGTGGCCTGCTAAGCTGCAGCTGCGGCAATCGTCCATAACAACCCTACTAACAACACTTAGCTCAAGGATGCTAAGCGTTCTTTCCGTACAGAGTTGCGTATATACGCTCTTCCCGCCAGCTAAAGAGGGATGTGCTCGCACTTTTCAGCCTTCTTCCTCATCGTTTATTTCTTTTCTTTTTCTCTTTCTTCTTCTCCTTCCCTCCCTCTTTCTCTCTTTCTCTCCTCACCTTGTTCTAGCTTTCGACGTTGGCAAAAAAAAAAAAAAAAGGGCGTCCATCGTCCCCACGGCAAACGGGATTTGGCTTTCCCGCCGCGAGCTGCGAGCCTGTGGCTTTCTTTTTTTTTATCATGGATCCTAACCGAGAAAAAAAAGGAGAGACGAGAGAGAGAGGCCGAGACAGAGGGGAGACAGTGGATAGATTCTCCCATGATGCATGAGCGTTGTCAAGTCTGTTCTCCGTGGAGTCGGAGCATCTTGACGCGACAGGATGCTGCATCAAGGCTTAGCTCGCTGCGAACAAGGGCTCTGGCAGACCAACGTACAGGGATCCTGGCAACTGGCCATCACGGCCGTGGTGGAGATCGCATGATGGGCTCGAAAGCCAGGCAAAAGGTTGCTATCACCGACGCCGTCACTGTCGACGGGCTGAGGTTTGAGGTTGAGGTTGAGGTTGAGGTTGAGATTGAAGTTGAAGTTGAAGTCTCTTTTGACGTCGTCGTTCCTTTTAGCGGGCGGTGAAACCTCAGCGCTGGGCAGAAAGAAGGTAACGTGCCGCCGGCCGCCGCCCAGGGAAAAGAAAAGCAGCGCAGCCAGAAAGTCCACCGCCGTGGATCTCTTTGCTTCTTCTCCTGCTTCTGCTTCTTCTGATTCTTCTGATTCTTCAGTCGCCCACTTCGTCTCTCTCTGGCTATGTTTTCTTATTCTTCCTCCTTTGGCTCCTTGCTTTTTCTCTCTCTCCCTCTCTTCCTTTTCTCTTTCAGCCCTTTGGCTTTTTTTTCTCCTTACTTTCTCTCAGAATTTCGTTACCTGGACTAACAAGCAGGAAAAAAGCAAGCATTAACACCAGAAGAACAAATATGAAAATTTATACATGGAAAAAGAACAGAAGAAAATCTTAACTATAAAAAAAGAATCACTAATCGAATTCCAAAAAAAGGAGATCGGCGTTGTGCAAGCGCGGTCGATATTTATGCGAAACGGCTGCCGTTCCCCTGTGCTGCCTTCAGAGAGATTCGGTGCCGGGAAGAGGGAGGTATTGCGGGTATATAAATATATATATACGTATGTACGGAGTACGGAGTATATATATTGGGCTTGCACGAAGCAGCACGCCAAAGAACCTGCAAGCCAGCGCCTGAGTGCGCCCGGAGACCGTTGATTTATCCATCACTTCTGAACATCTTGATCAGCAGAGGTCTGTGGCCGGTTGATGTCCGTGGCTTGCATTGGCTCTGGGGTATCAGGACAACCCTCGACATAAGCGTGCATGCAGGCAACTCTCGACTCCATAACGCGATATCCATTGATAGCCACGCCAGGAAGCGGGATGATAATTTCTTTTCCAGCATAGAGACACCACCAGCAGCAGCGATGTGATGGGAGGAGTGAGGTGAAGCCGAACCAGCAACCAAGAAAAAAGGCAAAACAGACAGGAAACAGAAGAATACGACATCATCCCGCTCATTGAGAAGGACTGGACACAGCATCGCAGGTTTTGAGCCTGTCAGAGCCATCTGAACACGAGCTGGGCCCTTCGGGGCTTTCTGGGGATGCTTTTCTTGTTTCTTTTTTCTGTGCGTGGTTTTTATGCACTCTTGCAGAAAAGCCGTTGTCGAAGGGGGCTTCTCCCCAAACCACACCAGCCCAAACCAAGGCCATGCGCTTTCTTTTTAGGTAAACTGACTAGCCGGGCATGGACCAGGCCAGTGTTGCGCCACTGCTTTTATCGATAGAGCTGATAAGGCAGATGACGAAGTAATAATGCGGGTTGCTGTTTGTGGAAGAACCCCCCGTTTCAGAGGGAGTGTCACCGAAAAGGAAAATAGGGAGTCGGCCAGTTTGCCGAGTCTCGTCCAATGGCCAATACAATCTCGAGGTATGCCCTGGTTAAATGCGCCTTCAGGAGCAGGTCCATGGGAAAGAGAGGTCAACTACAACCCCTGGTCCGCGTGGATCGAAGTTGAATCTCAATATGATCGACTTGATATGTAATAATATATTAATGACAGCGTCCAAAAGGCATATCGGCTGGGTTAATTAGCTACAACCCACCGTTCTCACTCCTAACATGCCGTATCCATTATCAGCAGCAACCAGAATCGACTTCGGCTCATGCAGAGTACGACCTCCGTCAGTATTTCGCGGATAGTTCGGGGCCAGCACTCCGTGCCGTGAGAGCTAATTTAAACCAATTTTCCAAACATAGAACCGAACCGCAGGCGGATGGATACGCTTAACCGGCTGAATGCGAGCGAATCTAACTCTCTTTGCATAAAAATATAAATAAAATACGTATACCATATCAAGGTGCAGATTCCTTGAGGGAGGTTCCAGGCAAGAGCAATCATTTCCCGCAATGATAATGTTAATCAACTACTCCGTACATCGTTATCGTATTTAAGTATTTGCGCGCACAGATGAAGTTTCACCACTAGAGACGGCCCTAGCTGATTTCGGATGCTGCAGAGCCTAGCTCATCAGTCCCCTCGTGAAAAATTTACCTCCCAACCGAATCTACCCAACGCTATCCCCCGGCCCAGCAGTGGGAGAATGGGTACCCAAGGCCGTCGGCATTGGCGCGCATCACTCTTTTGGTTGTGGAAGGAATCAAGAGAGCGAATCAAAATATCGTGGGGAGGGGGAGGTTGAAGAGGGTTTTTTTCCTGTATGTCTCCACACCGTAGACATCAAGCAATCATAATATAACAACAGTCTGCTGTGGCTGGATTTCGCCAACCCCTGATCAGAGAAATGCGGATTCTCCAAACCTTCTTTATGAGCTTGGTACAGACACTGACTCGTTTGAAGAAGATCTCACAAGAGATAAGTAAGAGGAACAGAGGAATGAAAAGCAGAACAAAAAGGAAAATATATAGGAGCTCAGCCTCTTGATTGCTTCTCACATCTCAAGTCTTAACTCAAGGGAATATGCGAGCCAGCCTATTATCAGAATCATAGCGGTTCTCGAAGAGGCGAAGAGGAGGACAGGGACAGTAAGCAGGAAAGTAAAAAAGTTGCAGGAATGGCGAGGAGATTTAGATCATGTCCGGTAGGCTCCGCATGTCTAGCAGAAGCTGCATCCTTCTGAACACAGGGATATCGGGCTAGAACGCAATTGCGTGATAATATTCAGCCAGAGCTGCCCACCACATGCAAAAGGAACTCTGGATGGAGTTACATGAGCAGGTCGGGGGGAAGAGGAGAGGTGTAGAAGTCGAGACTGGTCAGCCAGCCATTAATGGTTAACTCTCCACCATAAAGGGAAAGGACCAGCCCCCTGCGGTGCATAAACAAGGAGTAGACGAGAGGAGGGAACGCCAAAGGCACACCGCAACAAGAAAAGTAAAGAAAGCAAAATAGAAATTCACCAATCGATACCGGCAACTGTACGGACCGAACGAGTACGGAGTACAACCTCTTGATCCCACTCTTCGGCTTGCTCTGCAATGATTGTCAGTATGGGCCGGTTCCTCATCAGCAACCAATGACAGTATCAACAGATGCAAGGGGTCTTTCAAGGAACGTTGGGCCTATCCGCGTAGAACCTTGGCCCAGCGGGAGGAAAGAAAACGGAGATAAACTAGAAAGATATCCCATCAAAGAAAAAGAAAGAAGCTAAAGAAAGAGGAAAGGAGAGACCGAGAAAGAGAGAAAAAAAAAAAAGGGAAGTGGAAAACTATACTCCGTAGAAGGGCGAAGACATGCTCCCGCGAACAGGACAGGGGAACCAAAGGTGATCGACTGTCCATTGGACTTCAAGCGAGGCTGGAGTACGGAGTCCGTACTCAAGAGTGCGAATTTCAGACCGTTGTGAACACTAACTTCTTTAAGAGCTTTTCTCAACGTCGGCGACTTAAGAGAGCCGTTGATAAATTATGACGTGAGGTACTCCGTACGGAGTAGTAATATACGCTCCATTTTTTTCTTCTCACGAATCCTTTATATCCGGCTTTGACTATCCACCACATGAGGAGGACACAGGAGAGCGTCTTCAGCATGGATCAGAGACGATCGTGAGTGACTGTCGATAAGCCCTGTACCTCCAAATCAACAAACAGGCCTCTCACGCCAGGAGCCTACTTTAGTCTTTTTAGATGTGAATAATACAGCTCCACCCCGACTTTGCAGTATTGGGAGATGTCGCGCATGATGGGACAAAGCCCAATGCTTGTTGGCGTTTGAAATCCTAGCATGGTAGGCTTCGGGGCTCAATTCTTGGGTGTAACCACCGTGTCGAGCGAAATGACAGCCCCAATTGCAGGGCGGATGGTATTCGCGATACCCATGATATGTGAATCCGTCTGCATTTCGAGGTGGCGGTACGATAATTGCACCTTCTGCCAAAGTATCTGCCCTGGTGGATACGGCCAATGCCTGTCTGCTAGCTTCCATTGCCCAGGGACCCAAGGACTGCGTAGATATTCGCATCGTATATTTATCATCATTCGACATGTATCACATATAATCTATGATATAGCAACGTCTCCTGCTATACGAAGCGAGCCGATTCGCCGCTTTTCTCTTCCTCCCGCTCTCTTGACTGTGCATCTGTCGTTGGATTTCTCGTTTCTTTTCTGCGCCTTTTTTGGGGCGCCTGGAGGGTTTATGGCTTATGTAAGCATATTGATTGGACAGGAGCAAAAGTTGCTTTTGGCTGTTTGATAACAACCGGATTATATGCCTGAGCAGGCCGGGATGGCTCAGCACGGCACGCCCATGCGAGAACGAGCTCTGGCAAGAGTGATCGACTATCGTGCATTCGAAGGAAGGACGATGAGGGCGACGACGAGGAGCACAGAGGACGAACCGCAAATCCTGGACGAGTGGGTAGACGGGACATCTACTTATCCAAGTCAAGCTTCATGTGATCCATCGATGCTTGAACGCCGAGCGGCTGCGTCGTTAAAAAAAATAAAAAAATAAAAAATAAAAAAACAAACTGCGCTAGGCTATTAATAGGGACCGAATGTCCCTTCTGGGCTGGCTTCGAGCTTCTAAAACGAAGCCATGCCTTGTAAGAAGTACTCCGTACAGCGCTGGAGGAATCTCCGGAGCTTCGTCAAAAGGGATGCCTTGCGTGTCTCCCTGTTCCCTGGTCCTCTCGGAGCGGGGATGACGGCGAGGGCGAGGAGAGATAAGGGAGAAGAGGAAGAGGGAATAAAAAAGGTCTTCCTCATGACCATGGCTTGAGAGGAGAGTGGTGTAATGCAGGTACCAGGATGCCTGCTGTCAACTCATATCCAGGCTCACCATATATCCGCTCCACCAGGGCAGACATAACAAGGCAAGTGATTAACGGCTTTCCCTTTCTTTTTTTTTTTGCCGCTTACCAACCCAGGTTAACAAATGCTGCTGCCTCCATCTTGTCCTTTTTTTTTTTTATTTTTTATTTTTTAGTTTTGTTTTGTTTTCCTCTGACATGAACTAGTAGCTAGTTACTTATATGGGGCCTTGAGCAGTTTCGAAGGTTCAAAGCTTCCCACGTCCTATCAACCAAACACTATGGATTATGGATCCTCGGGCTGCCAACTTTGGCCATGCTCTGCCAGCTCCGCCAGCCTTCCATATCGGCTACGGACGAAGCTACGTCCATCGGCGTTGCGTTGAAACAACCAAGTTTACGCGGACGTCCGTCAATTCTCTCCTGCTTGGTCGGCCTGCCGCAAGTTTTAACCGAATCGAGCAGCCTAATCTGGCGGTCATCCGCCAAAAAGGGAAAGCTGGAGCCTTTTCCAGGTTAGCGATATGTTGGTATCTGGTAGATAGGCAAGATGGTGAAGCCTTGAACTTTACCTGTCACCCCCTGACACGGCCTTGACATGCAGGCGGAATGAGGATACA